ATGCGGAGTAGACAAAAAAACGGGAGTTTATTTGAGACCAACGCTAGCTTAATAAATTTACAGAACTTAAAGGTGCTTTATTTAATATCTAACCAGATTTATGGAACTATTGTCACACATTTTAACCTAGCTCCATTTTGTTGTCCTCTAATTTAAGTCACATGTGAGTAATTATTAAGTCGTTGGGGTTAAAATGCTTACAATGATTCCATGTTGTGGTATCCCATTGTGTTAAAGATGGTGGATTTGTCATTTTAAACGTGAGAGAGTAGATATTTAATTCTTACTGGTTTCCGCAGTCTAGAAAAAGCAGATAGACTATATCTAAGAAGGTCAAAATCTTATTTTACTTCGTTGAATAATACTGTATCTTATATGGTTAGAATGCTTCTTCATTTCTTGAGTTCTTTTAGTCTACTGATATAAAGTCCTTATTGACTTGGCCACAGGTTTCCAAGCCATGTTGCAGTAAGTGTGACCCACAAAGAACAAGTGAATGAACTATCTCATAAAGTTTAAACTTTTAAAAATGAAATATTTTGATGTATTTAGTTCGGTCGACAAGGATGCTCTCTCACGTGCGAGTTACATTTTTTAAGCTAAAAAAAAGGATATTTTTGTTAATCGTGATGGTGAGATCCACTTTCCATTATTTGTAAGATTTTCACTTTCCAATTTCAACTTATTTAAGATTGCGGTATAATAGTTATTTTTATTGTTGTGATGGTAATTGGTAAGACTAAGGGGCCGGTATACAAAAATTTTCACTTTCTTTAAAAAAAAAATTTACTTTTTTTTCGAAATCGGTGTTTGTCCATAAAATTTTCAATTTTCACTTGCAGATGAATTTTGAAATTCTTGGGAAATTTGAAAAACTCCATAAGGTTTGTTTTTTAAAATTTTCATTTCAAATCACTCACAAAAATTCAAAAACAGCCCAAAATTATATTCATATCCAAATACATCTCTAACTTTCAAATACCATTTTTACTTGATTATTTTTTCACTTTTCCCTGAATTTTGCCCCGTCTGGCCATACATTTTGGCAACGTTTTTTCAAATCTTTTTTGAAAACATTGTTTGTTCATAGATTAATGATCTATTTTTGAAAAAATTTTGAAATTATTCAAGTTCCCAAAATCTAGTTTAGGGTAGACTTTGGGTGAAACTTGTTCTTCCACTCACAAAACTTCAAATTTTTTTCAAATAAAATGCATGTCCAAACATAATTTCAACTTTCAAAAATTATTTTTTAAAATTATTTCAAAAATTATTTTTTCAAGTTTCAACTAAATCTATGTCCAAACGCTAGCTTACTATCTTATGTACAAACGCCCACTAAATGTTGAACTTTGTCTGCTTTGAAGTTTGAACCATATGAAGTGTCCCACCCAAAAGCTTTAAATAGTACAGAGAAAACACTTCCATTTATTTATTACTGGTCGGCAGCACAAAAGAATTTACTAAACTCCACTTTCGGTAAGATTTTCTATTACCCTCTAGACATTCAAGGTGCACCACTGATCTCTTGGTGGGAGTAGTTACTAATTATTTTTGAAAGAGAGATCAGGTATGCTTTTCCAAAATTTTATTTTGGAGTAGGAAAGAGGGCTGATGTTGAGAAATCAGGGCCAAGATCATCAAATAATGAATTGCTTAAATAATAGAGAAATTTTCATAAAACACTATCTTTTAGTGGTAATTAGCTATCTATAGATATCATTTGCTATATTATGGATTGTAGATACGTTTTCTGTTGTTATAAGATGTATTAGATGTATTTAAGCTACTGTATTCATGAATACAGTAGCAAAAATAGGCGTGAATCAGGAAGTCCAGCTAATCAGTTGTTGTATTCGAGTGTATTCGACTGTATTCATGGCGTGAAACATGGGGTTACAGCTGGATAAATTATTGTATACGACTGTATTTGACTGTATTCACGGCGTGAAACAGGAGATTACATTGTTTTTAACCGGAAAGTGAATTAATTATCATAATAGACTCCTAATATAACTCAACAAACTCAATTACAACACACAAATTTTGTATTTCCAGTTTTAAAAAAGATTCTCAACCAAAAAATACCCCAAAAATATAGCAATCTTCGGAGAAATTATATAATACATCTGAATATATAAATTATATTAATTAAAAAAAACATATGAATACATTCATGGCATATAGCGAGACAGTGAATACAATGAAATACATAGAATACAACGGGATACATTGAAACAATGAAAAAAAAGACAGTGAATACAATGAAATACATGGAATACAGCGAGATACATTGAATTACAATGAAAAAAAGACAATGAATACAATGAAATACATGAAAATACAGCGTGATACATTGAAATATATCAACAGAAAATCAAGTTGCTCAGTCCCAAACTCCACCGCCTTTGTTCAAGAACAAATCCTAATTTCCGGCGAATCCGCCGTCGACCAACGAAATAATCCACCTAGTATCCGGTCTACTATATCGTCTTCCACTTCGATTGAGACCTTCATCGATGACCATTGAGAATTTCGGGCTTATTGTTTTCTTGATCTCACGTCGAGCAAAGGGATATTCAGTCGGCTTGAATTGTATGGTATCGTCCACTGAACTTACGAGTTCATGAGGAACTGATGCAACTGAGAATCACCTGTTTTCAAGGCCGTGTTCTTCTTCGTGCTCAACAGTTAGATCACTCGAATTGGAATTTTGAGATTGAGCATCATGTTTTCAGCGAATGGGGAAGAGAATGGCATGTATCAAAGTAGAGAGAGAAAGAAAATAGTGTAACTGAATAGCGTATTTAGTAGTTTAGGGGTAGGAGGTAACCAAAATTAGATATTTTGATATAAACATTAAAAGGTATCTATAGAATATAATTTTTTAAAACGGTATTTATTTAAAATAAATAAGGTGTTAACCTTTGCTATAGGAGGTAAAAATTCCTAAATAATACTCTCCCCGTTTTCAATTTAGATGATTTAGTTTGACGTGACACAAAATTTAAGGAAAATAAGACTTATGAAATATGTGGATAAAAGCTTAAGGGGTAAAAATTTTGTGAGATCATGCATTTGAGTGGCTATAAAAGCTTCTCATTAAAGGTAAAATGGTTAAAATAAAAAGTTTAACATTAAATTGTTTCCAAAAATATAAATATGACATTCTTTTTTTAAACAGACTAATAAGGAAAGTATGCCATTTAAACTAAAACGGAGGGAGTAGTACTTTCTCTGTTTCAATTTACGTGATAGAGCTTGATTGGTACATAATTTTAAGAACGGAAAAGGGTTTAAAATGCCCCTAAACTATTGAAAAAGGTATAAAAATACCCTCATTCACCTATTGGGCTAAAAATACCCCTCTATCTACTTTTGGTTTACTTATGCCCTTTGACCGTTAGGTCAATGCTAAATTAAAAATAATAATTATTGAAATTCTACGTGGCAACTTCTTATTGGTCAAAATTAAAACATCTAACCCATTAGAAAGACCCATCCATATCTACTAGTTTTTCATACTAACCCGTTCCAAACACTAACCCGAACCGAACAAAAGTTCAAACTTAAAAAAAAAGAGGCCCCACTTCTATCAAACTCCATGGAACAAAAGCGCCATGGAAGTTGCAGCGAACATATAGATGCAAACTTACTACGTGATTTTCTTTTTCTTGTTATGGCATTCAGTTCAATTTATATGGTAGACATAAATTGCATTATATTCAACATGAGTTTAATTTAATCATTTCACATAATGGAAAGATCTCAAAATAATTGTTTGAAAGATATCATAAACCGTTGGACTACCCCTAGTTTTCCGTCCCACATTATTGTCAAGAAAATCATTAGCTCATTTATGCTAAGCTTTTCTTGTTGGTTTTAATTTGTTCGTGAACCTTTATTCGATGATAATGCTATACATGAGATTAATCAAGTAAATGAACACATGTAAATCCATGGGTTAGATGGATGTGGGGCGTCTTTTTTTTATTTGAACTTTTTACCCTACTTGTGGGAAAATACTGGGCTTGTTATTATTGTATTCAGGTCAGGTTAGTGTTTGGGGCGAGTTAGTCCTCAAAACGGATAGATATGGGTGGATCTTTCTAATAAGTTAGATGTTTTAATTTCGACCACAAAGAAGTTGCCACGTGAAATTTAAATGATTATTTTTTAAATTCAGCATTGACCTAATGGTCAAAGGACATAAGTGAACCAAAAAGGTGGATGAGGGGTATTTTTAGCCTAATAGGTGGATGAAGGGTATTTTTAGACCTTTTTAAGAATGAACTAAAAAATTTAAAGATAATTTAAGTTTAGATATAAAAATGTTTTAATTTTTTTTAATATAAACTAATAAGAAAAGAGTGTATAAATTAGGATAGAAAGAGTATGATTTTACCTTTTTTCCGTTTATGTCCATTGGCATCAGATAGGCACAATGCTAATTGCATAGACATATTAATGTATGACGGCATTTCTCACTTCTCAATATGATAAAACGTCACTATCTCTACATGACTTTGTTTTTATTATATTCTATCTATTCATTGTGAGACTAGTTATATACCTAAGTAAGTGGATTTGGTGATGATTGACTCAGAAACCTCATTTTCTCATTTCTCCACTAAACCTTTGACATGATATGTGTCACCATATTTTTCTACGTTTCCTGACCAAAAGTTGGTTACTTTCATAATTCTGGCATAGTTTAATCAAATCTTTTTTCATTTGTTAAATGATAATAGTCACTGAAAAGTGAAGGACAGAAAGAAGTTAAGAACGACGTAAATGGTAAAGTTGTTGTCATGTGATCAGGAGGCCAGGGGTCTGAGCCGTGGAAATAACCACTTGCAGAAATGCAGGGTAAGACTGCTTACAATAGACCCTTGTGGTCCGACCCTTCTCCGAACCCCGCGCATAGGGGAGGTTAGTGCGCCGGACTGACCTGCCCTTTAATGTACTGTGATTTAGCTTTGAACTTTGAAATAGTACTATTCATCAGGAGATATTCCTGGAAAAAACAAAGAGAAAATTCTGCACACAACTTCACAATCACTACCTAGGTACTTCATCAGTAAATAAACATGACATTGGTGCAGTAGAAATAGAAACAAATGTACCATCTACATCTCCATTAGCCAAATATGTGTGTCCCCTTGAAGATGCTAAAGAATGCAGTTCATTTTCGTCGAATCCAAATCCTCCATTATAAACACCAGGAGCCATTGGAGCATCTGGCATTTCAATTTCACCTTCCAAGTAACTCATCACTTGTCTCATGCTAGGCCGCGCCAACGCTTCATTGTTTGAACACATTAGTCCCAATTTCAGTACCATCACAACTTCAGGTTCATTGAACTCGCCTTTCAATCTCTTGTCGATAACATCAAGAGTTTTCCCTTCTCTCATTTTGTTCCATACCATATCCACTAAGACTAACTCCTCAGGCCCTGCCTTTGATTCAATCGGCCTGCGCCCACACACCACCTCAAGCAACAATGCACCAAAGGCAAAGATATCAGATTTTTCTGTAGCCCGTCCTGTTCTTGGCAATTCTGGTGCAAGGTACCCCAATGTGCCTACTACCCTAGTCGTGCAGGGATTTGATCCGTGCTCGTATAATCTTGCTAGTCCAAAATCTCCAAGCTTGGCATTTAACTCCCCATCTAGTAACACATTACTAGCCTTAACGTCTCGATGCACCACAACTTGTTCATAACCTTCATGTAAGTATAGCAAACCCGAAGCGACCCCTTTGATGATCTTGAACCTCTGCTCCCAAGACAATACCATTCTAGGTTTATCAAACAAGAAGTTGTCTAAACTCCCATTAGGCATAAAATCATAGACAAGTAACAAATCACCACGCCGTCTGCACCATCCTACTAATTGCACCAAATTCCTATGACGAAGTCTTCCAATGCTAGAAATTTCAGACACAAATTCGCGCAAACCCTGTTTAGATTCATGCGAAATACGCTTCACAGCGATTTCCATCTTCGAATTTTGTAAAACACCCTTGTAAACTTTACCAAATCCACCAAAACCAAGAAGCTCACTATCCTTAAAACCTCTAGTAGCTTGCTTGAGTTCTTGATAAGAATATCTATGAGGACCAACCTCAAGCTCCCAAGACTCTATAACATCAGCATTCTTGAATTTCTTGATCAAATAAATACCAACTAAGATAGAAATCAAAGTAAAAATAACAGCTATAATTGAGATAGCTAAAATTAGGCCAGTGTGCTTCTTCTTGGGACCAGGCAATAATGGCAGTGAATCCAAGTCTAGAAATTTGGCTTCACCATTCAACTTAAAACTCCAACCAAAAATATAATGAGAACTAGCAAGCAAACCAGTTGAAGCAGAAAAACCAACATACATATTTTCTTTGAGAAATGGAGAGAGATCTATATGATAAGATAAAAGTGGCAACTTGGGCTTCAAAGAAGATCTTGAAAGAGTAACATTAACCAAGTTTTTAACTGAATCATATTCTACCCATGCTAATATTACCTTCCCACATTTAAGATTCAGATCTTGTTTTACCAAATCATCATCAAAATAAGCAGCAGCAGCAGACATATTAGACCTTAAACTATTAATGTTGACACCAACATGGTTATCATTAATATCTCCAAACTCAAAATCTTGTACTGTATCAAATTCAACAGCAAATATATGATTAGAGAAATTACCAACATCAGTTGCATTGAGTAAACCTAAATACTGACTTGGTAGAGCTGTGCTTAAATCATTGGATTGAGAAATGGTAAAAGCAAGTCCATGACCACCAAGTTTTGGATATTCAGGCACTATAGAAAGAGCAAAACATGTTGAAAAAGAAAAAGCAGTGCCTGTAGTTGAGTTCTTGAACTGAAATGGTGAAGAATAGAAAGCATGACCCATAAGTCTACTTGTTTCATTGGTTAATTGAATAAATCCATTTTGGCTTACTTCTGCAACTCCACTTAAGGTTATGTTGTTGTTTGGTTGATTGAATCTTGTGTAGGTAAAGCCATCAAGCTGTATAGAGGGGGAAATGAGAAAGCAGAGTAGTAGAAGACATAAACTGACCATTTCTATAGGGATTTGCAACATTTTCAGGTTTAGTTTCAAGATTTTGTCATAAGATTTGGATTGAAAGCTATAGGAGATTTGAGGAATTTGTTGTAAGAATGTTGCTTTTTAATGAAAAGGGCAGTTTGGTGTTTGAGATGAAAGTTACAGAAATACAACCAAACAAGAAAAGTGACATTTATTCTGCAGATGTACTGTCTTTGGACTGCACTATTATAGTGGCTATCTTTTACTCCGTTTATTTTAATTTATGTGAACCTATTTAACTGGACACCGAATTGAGAAAAAAAATAACTTTTGAACTTGTGGCATAGAATAAGACACATATATTTTATGTGCTTATAAATTATTGTGTAAAAATAATTATTTTTAAATATAAAAAATATTATTCTTTTTGACACGAACTAAAAATAAAAAATATTCACCTAAATTAAAAGAAAAGAAAGGGAGTATTTATTTTTAGAAACTTGTAGTAGGTTGTTATGACGTGACGCCATATGCCATACTTCACTAAAAAAATTCTTTTTCTATGTAAAACCTCGGCGGATGGAGTGTATAACCTAGGACTTAACTGATTCTGTATTTTCATATATATATGTATGGAAAAAATATGTCGAATACTTAATTTTTAACCTATAATGGCAATATTATAATATGTTTAGTGCTAAAAACCTTAAAGTTAAACTCGTTTAATCACGGATTTGCCTCGGCTAGTGACAAGATTTGACATGGACCTCTAGCTTGTATATTAGTGACCAGAAAGAAATACAATAAGTTATTATCCTTAACGAAAAGAAGAAATACACATAGGTCGTGGAGGCTGAAGGCTTAAGGGCTCGTTTGGCCATAAAAATTTTTTATTTATTTTTTTTTAGAAAAATTTCAAATTTCAATTAAAGTTGAATTACAAAAATTGTAAAAATTTTAAAAAATTATTTTTCAAAATTGTCACTTCAAACACTCATAAAAATTCAAAAACAACTCCAAATTATATTCATGTCCAAACTTCAAACACAACTCTATTTTTCAAATACCATTTTTAATTTTTTTTTTTGTTTACTTTTTTTCCTGAATTTCACAATTCGTATGTCCGATGCCCAGTAAGAACACTAGAGGCCCCATTTCACTTTTGTCTATTCACGTGGGTTCCACTACGAGACTACACAAAATTATGCCTTAATTTGCTACAATTTTTTTGAGTGATTTTATTTTGTGTCTTACGTAACTTACGTTAGTTGTGTGAGCCCCCTTTTTATCTCACATATTTGTGGACTCATATCTTACATATTTGGGTCCACAAATTCTGGGAGGCCTCACACAACTAATGTCAGTTGTGTGAGCCACAAAATAAAAAAATTTAAATTTTTTCCCCGGCAAACGTGATTTTCCTAGAAAGCAGTAGAAATATTAGATAAACAGTCAGATTATCTTCTGTTTTTTTCAGAAGTTTCCTGTTTCTTGAAAGAAAACTAAGTGGAAAATTTGGTATTCCAAGAATAGCTACATTCAGTGTTTATGTACTTCCTTTATTAAAATTGCCAAAAATGCCAACTGGACAATTATGCTGTCTTTTTGTCCGATTCTTTTGTATTTTTTCTCCAAAATAATTTCTTGGAAGGTTTTGTATTTCATACCCAAAAATCAAATTTACCAAGTTGGAAATTCAAGAATTGAATGTATTATTGGAACCTTACATGGTTTATTGATTGCATCATTCCACAGGTAATATACAACAGAAATTACCATAGGTAAAAGGCAATCAAGTGGACAGGAATCTTTAATTTTAAATGGAAAGAATATTTAAATTAAAACCTACCTAGGTTCAGGATCACTTTTTGTGTTTAATAATGGATGGGTTTGCCCCAATTCTACCAAGTTTGAACAGAACCAAACTTAAGAAACAAAACATGACATTATAATAATGTATATGTGCTATTAATATAATCACCACATAACTTGGTGTCAAGAAACTCCAAATTCTTTCATCATTGATTCATTTCTGTAAAAGGTTGCCACTTGCCACTTACTTAGTGGGGCTAAGAAAAACGTGGGGCCTAATCCTTTTTTCTGGATTCAAAAGAAACAGAAATTCAATTAAATTATTAGACTTGGTGATTCAATTATGAAAAGTGAAGCACTAGTACAAAGTTCTCTGGCTTTTGCTACTCCATTGAGCTGAGGTTCTGCTGGATACTGCTGCATTTGTGTAAGCATCTGTTTGATTCATTTATTAGCTTAGTTGTTTAACAATTTTTCCCATTTTGTCATTTGATGATGATTATATGACGACTTGACGACCTAACTATAAGAGAAGAAAATAAATGACTTCCGGTTGAGGATAGAATTGTCATTAACTCGCACTCAGTATTTATATGAAGGTTTGTCCAAGATTCTTAGCTTACCTTTGATCTGTTGAAATCGGCTGGTGGACAAAGGTTTAGTAAAAATATCTGTCAATTGGTCCATGGAGGATATAAACTGCACAGATATATGACCAGCCTTGACTTGTTCTCTGACAAAGTGAAAATCAACTTCGACATGCTTCGTTCGAGCTTTAAAACGTGGATTAACTGCTAGATATGAAGCTCCAATGTTGTCAAACCAGATGATTGTGGGGTTGTGTATTGGCTGTTTGAGCTCTTGAAGAAGGGAACGGAGCCAAATTATTTCTGATGTGGTATTGGCGACAGATCGATACTGTTGCTTGTTTCTTAGCTGACCAAGAAATTAAGTTTGGTCCCATATACACAGCAAAACCTCCTATGGATCTCATGTCATCCGTGTTGCCCGCCCAATCAGCATCACAAAAAGCTTGAAGCTGGGAGCTGGTTGAATGAGTAATGAAGAGTCCTTGATGCAAGGTGGCTTTGACATATCGAAGAACACGCTTGCAAGCTTTCCAGTGAGTGATTGTTGGTGCAGATAAAAAATGGCACAATTTATTCACAGCAAAAGCCAAGTCTGGACGAGTTAAACAAGCATATTGTAATGCCCCCACTGTTTTCCTGTAAATCTGGGGATCAACCAACGGTTCGCCTTCTTCAAGTTGCAGGTTACATGTGCTATCCATAGGAGACTTGACAGATGTGGCATTTTCCATGTGAGTAATGGCGAGAAGATTCTGAAGGTATTTTTGTTGAGAAAGAATAATACCATTGCTGAGATATCCAACTTCGATTCCCAGGAAGTAGTGAAGTCTTCCGAGAGCAACTTAAATTCTTTAGACAAATGAGTGATGCATGTACGGTCTGCATTTGAGTTACTCCCTATGATAATAATATCATCGACATAGACAAGGATATAAAGAACATCACTGCTTTGTTGTTTGATAAAGAGCGAGGAGTCAGTACGAGAACCTGCAAAACCAATGGTTAGAAGATAAGAACTGAGTCTGTGATACCAAGCCTGTGGGGGTTGCTTAAGGCCATATATTGATTTCCTCAATTTGCACACATAATCAGGACATCGTTGATCAATAAAGCCTGGAGGTTAAGACATATATACATCCTCTTCTAAATTTCCATTGAGAAATGCGTTGGAGATGTCCAATTGTTGAAGAGTCCATTTACAGGAGATTGCTAAGGAAATAACAACTCGGACTGTTGTAGGCTTGATAATCAGACTGAAAATGGCATCATAATCTATTCCCTCAACTTGATTATAGCCTTTGGCTACCAAACGAGCCTTGCATCGCTCTATGCTTCCATCATGATGGTGTTTGAGTTGAAAAACCCATTTACAACCAACAATATTGGAATGTGATGGTTTAGGAACATGTTTCCATGTTTGGTGTTGTATCAAAGCAGTGATTTCAGAGCTCATAGCCTCTCTCCATGTGGGAACTTTGAGTGCTTTTGTGTAGCATGTTGGTTCTGAAAGAGTAACGGAGGAAGATTGAGCTTTATCACTCAAAACAGACATGAAAGTTAGTGTCTTCTTCTTGGGATTTTGTCTTATAACTATTGGATGAGTGCGCTAGGTGGTTGCGATAGCTCAGTAGTTGGAAGGACATCCGGTTGCGGCTCCGAAGGAGAATTAATTTGATCTTGAGAAGCACTAGAAAATGATAAGCTAAAACCAGAATTATTGTTGTAAGAAGAATCAATAGAATTATGTGAAAGTATCGAAGAGGATGGTACATTTGAATCGGGTTGCGGTATTGACGCAATTAATATGAGCCAAGGAGTAGAATTAAATTGCTCTGGAGGGGTGCCTAGGATAGATGAATCAGATAACTTTTTCTCCTTATATAAAAAGCGAATCTCATTAGTACGAACATGCCTACTAAGATAAATTTTATTATCCTGAGGATTAAAGGACACATACCCGTGATGGTCCTTGGCATATCCGAGAAAACACAAGCTGCAGATCTATCGGAGAACTTGTGTTGATTGTAGGGATGTAACAAGGGATAGACAGTACAGCCAAAGACACGAAGAAATCCATAATCTGGTGAAGTGCCATTAAGTTTTTCAAATGGTGAGATATGTTGAAGCACTTGAGTAGGGAGCCTGTTAACTATGTACGCAGCAGTGTGCATAGCGAAGTTCCAAAATCTGGATGGAACTGCAAAATGAGCGAGGAGGGTAAGGCATGTGTCCACTAGGTGTCGGATTTTCCTTTCAACTTGACCATTTTGCTGATGTGTATGAGGACAAGTAATGCGATGTTGAATACCATTTTCCTTCAGATAAGTATTGACCGTATGAAATTCACCCCCCAATCTGATTGAAAAATGATAATTTTGATTTGAAACTGTTTTTCAACCAATCTGTGGAATTCGACAAAAATATAGAGAACCTTATTTTTCTGTTTAATTGGAAATAGCGAACAATACCGAGAGAAGTCATCCACAAATAGAACAAAATATTTATCTCCATAAAAAGATGAGTTGGGATCTGGTCCCCAGACATCTCCATGAATCAATTCTAATGGTTTACTAGCAATAGAACCAGTAACATGTAAAGAAATCTAACTATGTTTGCCTAAACAACAAGCTTCACAAAGACCAGATGATTTTATTGAATGATTAGGCAAACTAAATTTATTAACCATAAAAGAGACTGTTGATTGTTGAGGATGACCGAGCCGAGCATGCCAATCTGGTGCAGCACTCCGAACTGATTTGAAAGCCTTGCTATTTCTTGCAATGTCGTCTGGTACAGCAATAGGAAGCCTGTA